ATTATAGAATAAATAAATAAATTAGCTTGTGTAATATGCGATTGGCATTTTTTTGATCTAAAAGTTAATCTTTTTAGTACTCACCATATCCATTGCATCTCCTTCATGAGTTCCTTTTTCCTTTTCAGATTTTTTGGCTCTAGCTTTTGCTTTCGCTGTTGTAGAAAGCACCGCAGTTGCTACCTTTTCTACAACACTAGTTGCTGGAGGTTTAGTCGTTGCAGGATAAGAAAAAAGTGAGGGCTTTGCGTTGGAGATGAAATCAAATTTAGGGATCTTTAAAATATTTCAATTAGCATTAGTCACATTTGCCTTTTTCTTAGCGAGATCGATAAACAAAAAAATGGAATTCATACCTTCAACTCCTTGTTCAAGCCAATAATTGCAGTGGGTGATAAAGCTAAACTCAAGAAATGCGTCAATGGAAACCAATACCAGAATTGTGTAAACACTGCCATTCCTACAATAGCTGGCATGTTAGAGTGACCAGACCTTGATTGTAAAGATATAGTTGCATTTCGACCACCTTAATAAAGTTGAATATTATTAATATCAAATAATAATAAATAATCTAAATGTTTAAATATTTATTTTATATACCTGCGTCAATAATTCCTTGACCTAGAACTGCACCGAATTTCGCCATTGCGTCTTCATGTTTGTCATTTATGATTTTTTCATATAATTTTCGTGTTGGCGTTACTTTGGGATTGGTTGCATCATTTTGTTGTATCAAAATCATGGCGAGTGAAATAAATGCTCCTTGTCGAACGTAGTCAACTGGATCTTTAGTCATAGGTTCTAAAAGTTCAATAGCTTCCTATATATATATATGAATTTGAATAGGTTTAATTATTATACGATAATGCATCCGAAATGGTTACGTTATTGATGCATATTACTAATTAACTCTAATTAAATATAGATATGCCTCAAAAAAAGGTAACCAAAAAAAACGGGCTCACTCTCATTATAATAGCATACCATTAAACCAGTTCCAGCGCATGAGATTCCCAATGCTAATGTAGCACCATATCGCACGTTTGGATTATAGCTTTCCGACAACAACTGTACTATTCGAGGAACCTGTTTCGGTGTCCTGAACAGAATAAATCCAAGAGCAGTTACAGCAGCTCGACGTACATCATCGTTGACGTCACTAACAGCCACGTGCAATAAATGTCGAATAGCTTTGTTATTTCCAGTACCACAGTATGCCATTGCAACTGTATAAATACCACCATATCGTAAAATTGGATCCTATAAGTGAAAAATCAAAAGTAAGCTAAGCAAATTATGAATTGTATTACATTATGATCAATTATAAATACTCAAAGCTTTTTACCTTATCTTGACTAAGAGTTTCAATTAATACATCAGCAGTTTCTTCTTTACCATACATAATTAACGAAATGCCGATTGCCAACCCTCTAATGATTTTTTCATGTTGAGTTTCGTGTGCATATTGTAGCATTTCTTCTATTGCTTTTTTTGAAGCGGTTCCAAGCATGACAAGTCCCATAGCTAATCCAGCGGCTTCTCCTGCGACTGCACTATCACTAAAGAGAACCTCTCTAAGTTGATCATAAATCTCTTAATGAAGCAAATATATATAATTAATTATATATGTACATTAGGATAATTAACAATGTATTAAATGAAATGTGTTGATAAAATACCATTATTTTCGGTTGCCATTCCAGCAGCACCTAGACCTAAACATGCACCATGTTGAAGAACTTCAGTTTGTGTATTTCTCAGTGCACTTCGTAAGTACTCCAATACTCCAGCACCATGATTCGCATGAATTAACCCCAGAGCGAATAATGAGCCGCCTTCTGAATATGAACTTCCATTAACACCATCTTGTGGTAAATATGGTTGCAGTAAAGTAAGTCCTTGAGATAAATGTCCCTTGTGTATTACACCAAGAGCTGCAGTAGCACTGAATTTTGACCAATTCGTGGCACGTGAAAGCCATTCAAGATTTTGGCGAAGAAATTCATCGCTTGTTGTTCCAGCGTGCATGAACGCGTTAGCAAATGTAACGGCAGAGTGATATACGGAATTTCGAGATTCTAATGCATTCTATTGTAAAACAAATTCAATTAAACATTACTAATTAAAATTCAAATAAAAAACAATGCATCATACTTTAGTGTTTTTCAAAATAAGTAGATCAGTGTGATTATTTCGATACAAAAATTCCAAGTGTAATTTGATAGATTCTTCCCCAGACAATATATTACGAATACGGACATATTTTTCATCCGGTTGGCTAGCAGACTGGTAAAAATTAATATATGATAAAATTGAAATTTTAGCAAGAACTTAATGATAAATTACACATAATTACCTCAGTGTCATCCGTTTCCATAGCTTCACCGTCTTGTTTTTCATTACGAGTAGATGATGATGATGACCCAATGGGTAATTCGTTTATAACTCTTTGAAGAAACTCTTGAGTGGCATTTTCTTCAAGATCAAATGCAATTTGATAAGCCATCAATAGCAAAGCCTGCAATTCAACAATACAAAAGATTTAATATTAAATATACATAATCTATAAGGACATTAAATCTGTCGTAAACCAATAAATTTTTTAAAATAAATATCAGTACATCATCGCATTTTGTGACAAGATCTTGTAATAATTTAGCAGCCGATGAAGAATCATTCAAATGCACGAAGCATTGGCTGATTGATATATAATCAGGTTCCGCAAGGTTTTGATATAATTTTACCAATAACCATAGAACCTAAGAAAATAGATAAAATTATGAATTTATTCCTTAGGTGATAAATATAAACGAATATTTATAAATATATTAAATAATTAACCTTATTTCTAAAATCTAAATTGAGTACCAATGTCATGCTCAAATCTAAAACATAAGCCAAGAGTTCAGAAGACGGGCCTTTATTTATTGCTTCTTCAAAAACATCTAGTCTACGGGCTTCCAATGCGATACCAATTGCCTATTTTGAATATAAACATTTGATAAATAAATCAATTTAGAATATTTAATACCTTTTGAAATAACAATTACTTGTTTATATTCCCCATCATCATAGCATCGTTGAAACATTCGTTCAACAACGTCTTGTAATCGTGGATCTATTGGCTGAGCATTTGTAGGATTGTCATATTCTTGTACACGTAGCAAGATATATTTATCGATGCATTTAGCTAAATAATTAACATAAATTTATTAAAAAAAAAAAAAAGTTATCGTGCTATATTGGTTTTTTTTTATGTTACACTCAAATATAAAACATACATATGATGGTCTCAACATATTCCAGCTTAGAGGACGCGTCAAACAAATCGCCGGCACCTAATGCAAAACTCAGAGAATCGTCAAATTCCCCCAGATGGTAATAAACCTGAGAATTAGAATAACAAAAACATCAGCATGACGCGATTTTTTTTTAATTGGTATTGATAATATAAAAAATGCATATTACCTTTGAAGCAACAAGAGCGGATAATTGTCTTTGGGGGAAGTTCTCATCTTCGTAAAGAATTTCGCTATGAATGACAAGACAAGGAGATCCCAAGAAAGTGAGCCCTTATTCTTGTAACGAAAATGCGCTGGTATATAAGTAGACTAACTAATGTGGTGTTTCACTTTTCGAAGATAACATAAAAAGGGTTTTTTTGAGCGCAAAGATGCTGTCTAGCATTTTATACGCTGTTTTTGAAATCGGAAAAAAAGAAAGAAAAAATTCCACTTACATTTTTTGAACAGCATCAGAAATTTCAGCCCAAAATTGATCGACAATTTCGTTTAATTTTTTCAGAGCATATATTTTGAGTTCCTCCTCTGGTTCCTCGAGTAAGGCAATAATGCCACCTTATATAGGTATACTAATACTTTAGCATTGCGAGTAATATAATTAAAAAATTTTGAGAAATTATACCTGCAGAAGTTAATCCAACCATGATTTTTTTTTTTGTATACGAGAGTTAAACTTAGATTAAATCGGGTTTATTGATTTCTAGGGATTTTATCAAAGTCATGTGTAACCGAATACATCATCGCATTACGTATTCCCTGCTTTTATCTCGAATTTTCATGTGATTTAATCAATGTCCCGCGAATGGTAGAAACTTGGCATTAGTGTATGACGATGACGATGACGATGACGCTGGCGATGAAGATGACGATGACGATAACGATAATACGTAAGCAACTTTAAAATTTATCCAATCCAATTGGACGAATTCAAATTATGGACTTTAGGTGCCCAGTACACATTGGTATCAAAGGGGTAGCTACAAAAACGAAGTCACAAGAGATATACCAAAGAAACTTGATAAATATAAGCAGAAATGAATACTACCCGTCCATCAATTATTGCTTGTAACTGATGCGACTCTAGTCATATGGCCAATCGTATCTCTTATCAGGTTAATAAAAAAAAATTTTTTATTATTACACAACTATTCTATTAAAAGGACTTTCGTCTGATTGGCTAATAACAATCAATTAGCCAGCTCAGTGTTGATTACAAAAGCGAAATATGAAGCAACGCTCCGAAATATAACGAATCCCGTTTTCATAGTTATAATTCTATGATTATTGACAGTTATAAAAACAATTTGACCGATTACTATCTCAACTCAAAATCGGCAGAAAAGCCACCAAATTATTATGTATATAATTATATTGCAGAATTCGATGTCGAAATTTAAACTAAAGAGCCAAATGAAATAATAGCTATGTCTTCACAACTAAATTTGCAAATCAAACTCTCATAAATATAGTAATAATAATTTTATTATTGCATGTTTTGTAAAAATTTTAGAACTTCAACTCGAATAAACTTTTTTATTTTAATAAATTAATAATAAAGTACATTATTGTCTTCAACATACATTTTGATAATTTAATTATTACCTTTGGCTTCTAAAAAAAATTTTAAAAAAATTAGTTATCATTATAATTATAACTATAGTAAATACAATGTAAGCAGCTAATAAGTAATGAAAGAGGTCAGAGGTTAGAGGTCAGCAAAAAAACGGCTTCAGTTATTCTCCGCATAGCCACAGAGACAAAAGAATAATTTCTTAAAATGATCGATTTTGCAAGAAATTCTTGACTGCTATAAGGAAAAACGTAACCAACTCCTCATTCAGAGCCAGTAGACCTTATAACAGAAGCACCTGCTTCAAAATCTACCATTGTTCGAAATCATCCTTCTACAACCCCTAACATTACATTATTAAGTTACAAAACAAATGTACATACCTTTTACGATAACTAATATACCGGTAGTAAATTGTTTGCAGTATTGGCTTTAGAGTTATTACTGTATTTTGGTATTTAATATAAAGACAAAGTTAGTTATAATGAAACCATAAAGAATCCGACATTGCTTGTAAATTCAAAGTATTTTTCTTTAGCTCAACTAAATATCTCTTGTTACCTAATAAGCCTCCATAAAAAATATCCAAATGCTCTAAAAAGTGATCTAATTAACTCGACGCGTTATAACAAATATAAACATAAACCAAAAAAATATTTACGTGTAAAATATATATAAAAAAAAACAGATCGCTGTCACACAAGTACGTAAAGCATTAGCGTAACCAATAATCGAGGGCACATTCACATGATTTCCGACCTATATATAACTACCCCAGTATCAGGGACGATGATTTTCTGCGTTCACGGAATTTTGCAGAAAATCACGGAATTAGTTCAGATCATTTTTTAAATTTTGGCCTGGATTTAGGATCTACAGTCATCATAATGCCGGCTGATATTAATTCGGCCAGAATTTGTGTATCATAATGCTGGCCGACTTTACGTAATTCCGGCCAATCGCAGAATTTTTGCAGAATCATCTTTTATCACGGACGGA